GGGATGTGGCTATGGGGTGGGGGGGCATGTGGGTATGGCTATGGACCATGGCAATAGGGCAGGGGGGCATGGGGTTGTGGCTATAGGGATGGGGCCACTGGGGTATGTCAGAGATTCATAAGAATATGGATATGGGGCAGAGTACTATGGGACCATGGCTATGGGGCTGGGGCCACGCAGCCATAGCCATGGGGCAAGGGTGTTGGGGCTATGGTTATGGGTCAGGGCCTGCAAGACCATGACAGTGGGATGAGGTCCACTGGAGTATGGCAGTGGGGCAGGAGTCATGGAGATATGGCTATGGGGCAGGTGGCCATGGGGCCATGGCAATAGGATGGGAACCACGGGTATGCAGCTATGAGTTGATGGAATTACATGGGACATAGTTATGGGGTGGGATTGCTGTTAGCAGGGGCATATCACTATGACATATGGGGACGTGGAGACACAGCTGTGGGGTAGAATTGCTATGGGTCAGGGAGACACTGGGATGTGGCTATATGGTGGGGGCATGGAGTACATGGCAGTGGAATGGGGAGAACATGGAGCCATGGAAATGGGGTAGGGACGCTGCGGAGCATGTATATGGGGCAATGGGTACATGTGGGATATAGCTATGGGGTAGGGGGGCACTTTGGGACATGTCTGTGGGATGGGATTGCTGTGGGGTGGGGGAGACATGGGGACACTGACATGGATTGAAGGGCTGTGGTGGGATTGATGATAGGGAAGGCTTAGCAGGTCTCTTCCAACTCCCCATGCCCCTGGTCAAAAGGAGACTCTGGGTGACCATGAGCCCATCTGACTCCTTCAAAAAGGTCACCTCTTAGAGGGATGTCCCTACCTGGTGGACCTGGTAGATCCCACGTGGCATGTCCCCATGGACAGGCAGCTGAGGACATCCCCCAGTCACAAGAACTGTGTGGGGAGAGAGGGAATGGGAGGATATGAGGACCTGAAGGGCACTGAGAAAGGCATCTTCAGGGACATAGGCACTGGGGAACAAAGGACATGGGCTGTCCCTGTCCTGCAGAGTCCCTGAGCCCGGAGTGGTCAGGGACAGAGGGCCTGGTGAGGTATGGGGCCAGCAAGGATCCAAGTTGTGGACTCAGCTGGGCACAGAGCTCGACCTATGGCCATCCATAGGGGTTTCTGGGGTGGGGTAGGACCAGGACATGTGTCCAGGTTGGAAATGTGGGACAATACATGTGTCAAGGGTGGGGAGAGACCAAGATGTATCTGGGGGCAACACATGGAAGCCAGACATGCATCCAGGAAGATGTGGGACCAGGATGTGCGTTTGTGGAAGGCAATTATCTCAGACCAGGACCTCAGAGACCCGCTCCATCCATCCATCCATCCATCCATCCATCCATCCATCCATCCATCCATCCATCCATCCATCCATCTCTCTGTCTCTTACCATCTCACTACAGGGTGCTGGCTGCTCAGGCAGGGCAGCACACCAGTGAGTGTCCTCAGGTTCCCTGGGGAGAGGTTACAGGGGGACATCAGTGCTAAGGACAAGGCTGTGAGGGACACTCGTACCTGTGACTGGCCTTCAGAATCATCTGAACTGTCCTGGATGAAGGGGCTGTATCAAATGGATCATGGGGACCATATGGAGATCACTTGCACTGTATACTTCACATGAGACCAGTTTAGGCCATATGGACTGACAGACTATGTGGAGACCACAGAAAATCACACTGACTGCATAGACCACATGAGAACCACAAGGACACCACATTGAGGATACATGGACTACGCAGTCCACATAGTCTGTATGAAGACCACAAAGACACAGAGACCACTTGGAACATGTGAAGATAAGAACATCTGTAGGACACACTGCCTTGGGACAAGCGTAGGACAAATTTCAGCAGATGCAGTGGGACATCTCTTCAGGAAAGCCTTCTCTCCTTCTTTGTTCTCTCACCTTGGTCCTGACCACAGTGGTATGCAGGGCAGTGCTTCAAGGCTTCACTCTCTCTCCGTGCAGATTCACTCTCTCCCAAGTTCTTCATCCCCATGAGCCACAGAGCTCTGGTGGGACTGGGGATAGCCATGAGCGTCTGCTGCACATGGCAGTGCTGGGATGTGATGTTCCTTCTCTGCAGGGATGGAGATGGGGCCCCCCAGCAGTGCCAGGGCCCATTGGCCAGCCAGGTGGAGAGTGGGCCACATGCCTGCTACTGCACTAGAAGGATGGAGCCAGCTGTCCCACTGGAGTCCAATGGCTCCTAGAACTGGCGATTGTTATGTTATGTGATAAAAAGCTCGTCTGCAGGCACGTGGAGCATAGATGAACCATGGCAGGTGAAGGTGTAACTGCTCAGCAATGGTAATTTGTCACCAAGGAATGATCTGGCATGGAAGCTAAAGATGACCAACTATACAAAGGGTTAAACTGGCTGGGAGCAGGAAATTGACTCCTGTCAGGGAGTGAAATTTCCCTTGCTGATGAGGAAAGAAGTGAAACAGCCTCGTCTTGTAGCCATCATGCAATGCAGTCGCTGAGGGGTCACCTTTGGCCAGTAGAGCTGGTGCTGGGGGTTGAGCCTGTGCTCACAGGATTGGTGCTTCGGTGTTGGTGCAAGTGTACATAAGGAATTGGCTCGTGCCGCCAATCAGACTCCTTGTAGAACCACTTATGGTGGTAGGACTCTGCCCAATGCATTGGTCATTAAAGCTTTTTATATTTAAGCTCAAATTTGCCTCAAGGGCTGTCATAAGGGGTACATCCTGATCAGCCAGAGAGGGAAGCAGGATGTGGCTGTTGGTGCTGTTTGTGTGAGTGCTCTGTGTGCCTGTATCGATCTGTGTGGCTGGCCGTATATATGTGTGCACGCATGTGTCGTATAGGTGTGCCCGTGCGTCTGCCTGCTGGAAATACGCTGTCAGTTCCACAACTGGTTGGGCCTGGAGGCGTAGAGATGTGGCAGCCTCACCTCTCTCAGGCTGCTGGATGCACCAGCCCCTAACAGTGGTGACGGAGGGCAAAGCTTTTTCCATGGTCCCATGACCTGGACTTGCACCCAGAGGTAGGTCTCCAGCTGGAGGATGTAAGAAAAGGCTCTGCAGAGGAGGGCCCGGGAGTCCAACGTGCCCATGGACAGGCCCCGTGGCAATGCCACCATCTCTGTCCTGGACTGTGTAGGCAGGGCATAGCCAGCAGGTGAGCCAGGGGGATGTTCTCCACTGGGCACTGGTGAGGTCAGAGTGGTTTGGTATCCCTCAGTCCAGTGTGGACAGTGGAGGGTGTTGAGATGAATGGGCCTGAGGGGAGGCTGTCCAAGGAGATGCCAAGAATTGGTCAAGCCTGGGGGAGGCAATGGGGGTTTAATAGGAGACGAGGCCAGAAGAGGTGCCCCAGAACAGGAGGAGGCCGTAGGGTACCCTGCTGCAAAACTCCTACCCCCATGGTATCTCCAAGGATGATCAAAAGGGCTGAAGGAGGAAGAAAGAAAAGGGTAGAGAGGGTCTAGGGGGGACCACATGGGGCAGCTGAGAGCCCCGGAGGAGTCTTGTGGCCACTTCACCTTTTCCCTTGAGATTACAGCCTTGAGATAAACACCATCTGCCTAGCGCTGAGCCCTGCGGTTTTGTTCCTGCTGGGGCCAGTTGTGGCAGAGATTGGGCACAGTCAGAGGAGGGCAGGACGTGCCTGCCTGCAACTTGCAGGAGGGCAGGGAGCTACAGATGCTGCAGCCTTCAGCAGTGTGGGATCCTGGACAAGCTGCCACCTGTCCTACACAGCTCCAGTCCCACAACCCGTCCTTTCCCTGCTCTCCTCACTCCCACATCACCCAAAGGTACAAGCAATGTCCCCTTCGTTATTGCCAGAGGGAGCTCTGTCTACACCAGTGGCCGATCCAGACTACCTGGCAGCTGGGGAGACTGGAGGCCAAGGCTCCAGGTGTGGTGGAAATGAGCCGTTATTTGGAGTAAGGACGTTGCTGTTGCTCCAGCATAGGACTGGGGAGGCCTGGATGGATGAGGAATGGGGCCGACCCTGTGGGGTGGATCCAGACCTACAGGCAGGAGATATTGCTGTCCCTCCCTCCTCCATCCCACTATAGGCCAGGTGGGATGAAACAGCCCCTGAGGAGGCCAAAAAGGAAGCCAAGTTACTTCCCTCCTACTCCACTCTGTGGAGCCACCAAACCTGCTCTGCAGCCGTGGGGAAGAGACAGCCTGGACATAGCCTGTGGCTGGACCCAGTGTCCTTTCCCTTCTCCACCGCCTGGTCTGCGCTGCAGTGGGGGGCACCATGCAGGGTTTCTGGGCATGACAAGGGGGCATGACATGGCGCAGCGGTCTTCCTGGGCCTTGGTGAGAAAGGCTACTTTATAACATCACTTGTTGTTGGAGCTTTCTCACTAAGATTCAGAAAGAGTCCTGCGCTGTTTCTTCTCCCCACCCCCATTGCAGAACATCACCCTCTTTTGCAAGCCTGAGAGGAAGCCATTTCCCCATCAAGTGACCAGAACTGCAAGGAGAAATGAAAAGCCCTGATAGCTTCTCTCCTAAGGTCTGCAGGATCCTAAGACAAAGTCGTCGTGGGTGCCCAGCCCTGGGCAGGTGACTGGGACATTCTGGTTCCACTTCAACCATCCCAGCCCTGCAATTGTGTCTGCAGAAACCCAAGCTGTGGGACAGAAGGTGGCTTGTGGCAACAAGGGCATATCAAGACCCACAAGAAGCCACCCAGCTGCTCAGTGCCTCTGGCCAAAGCCTTCCTCTGAAGAAGCCCTGCTTGAGCCAAGGATGGAGGGAGCCAAGAGGGACATGATGCCACTTGTGACCCACGTGCTAGCCTTTGGTGAGTGCCAGAGGCTGTGCGGGCTCCCAGAGGGTGACATGAGGCACCCGGAGACTCCACAGAGATGTTTCTCTTGCAGGTGTGTGGCTGGTGGCCCAGAGCCAGGCTACACCAAGTGAGTATCATGAGGAGGTAGACAGGGAGTTTGGACACATCTCTGGTCCCCCACCCATCTCCCAGGGCTCTCCCCCAGCCCTACAAAACAAAACTCGCCTTTGTGTAGAGACAGGGCCTGGAGCCAGCTCCAGGCTCCTTGCAGGGCAGCCGGGCGCTGGGAACTCCCTCCCTGTCTGGCAGCACCTCTGTCCCTGTGCAGGTGCCCCCACAATCTCCATCTTCCTGAAGCCTCCTGGGGTGATCCCACCAGGAGGCTCCACCACCATCTGCTGCAGTTGCCAGCGTGACAGTGGGAACTTCGTGCTGTACAAGAATGGCCACCAGCTCCGTACCCTGGAACTGTGTGGCAGCAGGGCCGAGTTCTCCATCTCTAATGCCATCCAAGAGGACACAGGTGCCTACAACTGCCATTACCTGGATGGAAGCACTGTGCTGGCTCACAGTGAAACCCTGGATGTCATGGTGCAAGGTGAGGGCTGTGCTATTACCCCTTTGTGTGGGATCATGGGCAGATTGGGGTGCACGTAGCCACTTGGCTTCCCCGCTCACATGATGGGCAGGGTTTTTCCATCTTCCCTGGCTTGGAGAGGTGGGGACCATCTTCACCTCTACCTGAGCCACGTGGTGGGGTCATGGAGATCCTGGTGGCTCCTGGCACCATGTCAAAGCCCTGCACACCTTCTCATGCCCTCTTCTCTTCTCACAGAGTTCCGTCTCCCCAAACCTGTCCTCTCTATCCTGCCTGGGCATGAGGTGGCTGCGGGAGCTTACGTGATTTTCTGTTGCACCATCGCACACTCCAGTGCTGGCTGTTTCCTGTTGCTGGAGGGCCAGGACAAAGTCCTCAACTTACTCCCAAAGGAACAAGACAATTTCAACATCTCCCATGTGCATAAAGGCAACGGAGGCCACTACAGCTGCCAGTGTTCCACCAAGGGTGCTTCATTGCAATGGTCTGCTGTCAGCAAGATTTGGTGGTGATTGGTGAGACGTCCCCCCAGCCACTGGGTGGTCAGAGCCTGTGGGCAGGGCGTGTCGCAGGCGGCAGGGCTGCGGGAGGTAGAGCCGACAGGAGCCCTTGGGGCTCCCTTTGCTCCCTATGAGCTTCCCTCTATCCCTCTTTAGCCCAGGGGCTCCCCAGCATGTCCCCTTGTCCACATGTGTCCGTCTGCCCTGGGAGCCCCATGTGCAGCCCTTCCGTCCCCTTGGGTCCCCTGTTGACCCCATGGGACGCCTTTGGTGGGGGAGCTCCCGGGGGGGCTCCTCCCAGGGGCCCCAGTGATGGTCCCTCTCACTCTGTCCCCTGCAGATTACACCTGGAGCAACGCGGTTCGCCTGGCCCTGGGGGCCGGGGTCCTGGTCCTGCTGGGGCTGATCGTGGCTGAGGCCGTGCGCAGCCACCGGCACGGGCCGGGGAGGCTGGGGCCTCGCTAGGATGGCGCGCAGGTCCCCTCTGCCTCTGCAGGAGAGACGGCCATGCTGCCCTGCAGCTGGAGGGTCCAGCACGCTCCCCGCACGCAGAGCTCCCCGTGACTGGGACCAGTAAGGGACACCGGGATTCCCCTCCAGCATCTCACGGTGGGATAAATAAACTGACCCCTCCCCATCCGGCTGTCTCCGGGAGTCACTCAGCGGGACGGGCAGGGTTCAGGTGGGCTTTGGGCCGGGGCGACCCCCATGGCGGGAAGGGGCTCTGGGCTGGGGGTGGGCCCAGAGGCACTCTGCCCATCTGTGTCCCTGTGTCTTTTTCTTTTGTCCCCAGCAGGGACAAGCGCCTTTTCCGGGGCGGGGAGGCGGGGGGAGCAGGGGCAGCAGGGCTGAATAACCAGTCTCCAGCTGCACAGTTTTCCATTGCTCACATTCCTTTATTGTTTTAAAACACTGACGAAACACATCACACCATGATCTATATATATAAATTTACTTTCACACAGATATAAATTTATATATATAGGACCTTTAAACCTCTGTATACTCGGGACACAAAGTTCCAGAATAGCTTCACTGGCTACAACAAAAGTACTTTTGTTATGAAAACACAAAGAGGAAGTGCGAATATCAAAAATGCGGGAAAAAATAAATTAAAAACAAGTGCAAAATGAATGAAAGTGCAAAAAAGCTTTTGTTATCATAATCACGCTCCTTCCAAAATACACTCCCCTGTTCCTCCCTCCAAGGACGAGCGAGCCTCAGGCCCCAGAGGGAAGGGGGGGACTGGAGGAAGGGAGCTAGGCTGCAGCCTCAGGTCTCTCCCTCTCCTCTGCACCGAGGGGTCCCCTGCCGGAGCCTAAGGAGTGAGGAACAGAGGAGCAGAAGCAGCCAAGTCACATCCCTCTCATGGCTCCCCCCTCTTCTCCAGCTCCCATCATTGCACTCATGTCCCCAGATTTGCCTCTTCAGGCAGCAGCTGCCCTAAGCCCTCAACCCTCCTAGACAATTTGGAAGGTTTCTTTCTTGTCTAAAAGTGCTTGTGAGCAACATGAAATCACTGGAGGAAGGCAGAGGCAGGCAGCTGTGCTCTGGTGAGGTGGGCATGGCTGTCCTCCTCACTGAGCTTCAGGCTGGCTGCTCTCACAGGAGTGGAGACCTTGGCCTCACACTGTCACAATGCTGCCCATTTCCACATGGAGGGAGAAACACCTTCCCGAGAGGCGCCAACTGCTCCCATGCACCCAGAGTCACCTGCAGATGCAGCCACCCCAGAAAACACCCCATGCCCGAGGCTGGAGCATGTGGTGGGACATCTCCCATGGCTCCAGCTAAGCCCTTCCAACATCATCTGTAGCAGCAGAAACAGGAATGACAGGAGCACAGGGTTGGGGGCCTCCACTCAAAAAAACACTTGACTTGAAAAATTCTTCATTGACTCCGAAATTTTAGCTGCAGTCGCATCTCTCAGAAAGACCCCAGAGAGGAACCTGTGGGCCAGACTCAGCCCCATTGTCCTCTCCATTTTCTTAGTGACACAGCAGTGGACATCCCTGCGTGGAGCTTGGTGAGGCAACAGGGGAAGGATGAAAAACTTTGGTGCTTCTGCCTTGGTCACAGCTGCCCTTGATGCTCCCTGAGGGGGGACTCCCAATCAATGTTCTGTGGAGCTGGAGGACCTGCCAAGGCCAGGGGTGCGGCAAACCTTCCTTCTCCTGGCTTCCCTGGGGAGACCAGAGACAACTTCTGCTCATGGAGGACACAGTGCCCAAGACCCTGGGACCAGAGCCTGCTGCCTCCATGGCCACAGAGACCACCACATTAAAACAGCAACACACCAACAGTAGGGGAAATGGCATCGTGGTACTTCCACAAACACCCATCCACACATACACACAATGCTTTGGGTTTGGTTTGGTTTTAAAGGAAACAAGCAGAAGGTTATAAGTTTTAAGAGTAAATAGCCCTTGACCACCTACAAACCCTGTAACTGTCTCACCCAGATGAATCCAGAAGCTTTGTACCCAAACTGCTGAGTCAGCCCAAGAGGCTGACGAACTGATGCTCAAGACAGCAGTAAGCGTGTGTGACAGAGACCCTCACGTCGCACATCACCCTTCCAGCAGGGCTGGTTTTCCTGGCTGCTGCATTCTGTGCCGAGCTCAGACCCAGCAGAGACCTGGGGTCCAGCTGTGCAGCCAGACCCCAAAGCCAAGGGGGAATACCTTGGCAGTCCTGCCCAGTTTGCATCTGCTCTTAGAGGGAGGTCAGAAGAGCCCAGGTAAGGCAGTACCCCATGGGCACAGCTTCCTGCTGATGCCCAGGGCTGGCACCGTCTGGAGCATGCACCTCCGCCTGTTTTGCTGGTGCCCAGGCAGAGCACAGCTTGATTGCACCCAATAGCCTGGCAAGAGCTGATGGTGTTGGCTGTACCGTCTTGTGGGCCTGCCATTGCTTGGTTCATGGTTCCTCTTCCCCTTCAGCAAGGATCTTGTGAGGTCACTGCCACCTCTGCTTTCCAGGACAGCCCTGTGAGAGACAAGGCTCTCCAACCTTCACGCTAGTTTCAGATCCAACACCTGGGTAGCAACTCCTCTCCCAGCACACAGGGACAGTGCTTAGTCCATTCTCCAACAGGAGGAATGACTTGGCATGAGGGAATGGAGCAGATGAGAATAGGATGCTGCCATAAGATGTTTCTTCATAAGCTCAATAACCATGTCCTGTGCAAGGGAGCCGTTCTGTTCCAGATGACACCCGGAGAGGTCTCAGCACCATTTGCAGAGTCTCACAGATGAAGGTCCCAGGGCTCCTCTTCTCCCCCAGCACACAGTGGTCCAAAAAGAGCCCCCCCATCAACTGAAGAGACCAACTTCAGGACCATTTACTGCAGATCAAGGGTGACTTGGGGAGTGACTGTGGGGGACATGCCTGTTCCTCCCCACTCCCCCTCTCTCCAGAGCTGGCCACACTGCAGGGCTTGAAGAGATGGAAGAAAATAAAAAAGGAAAGCAGAGGGAGAGCTGCCTAAATCAAACCCAAGCATTGACAAAACAAATACTCGGACTAGTTGCAAGTCCTGTGTGAAAAGCAAGCAGCAGATGTTTCAAGAGCAGGTCAAATGTGACCCCAAATATTCAATAACAAAGAGTCAAAATGCTACATTTCCATGGGAAGCCTAGAACAGATTGACCCAGGTGTGACAGCGGCTCCCATGGCAGCGCTGCTCCAAGACACATTGCTGGTGCAACTGCTAAGATCCCTTCATCCCTGTCTTTGGGCACTGGGAAAGCAGGAAAAATGTTTTGCTACTGATATGTCATTCTTGGGAATGGGAAAGAAAGTGGACGTGGGACTCGGATCACATCACTGCAGACCATGGAGAGCCCTCAGGGCAGGTGGCCACCCTCCAGCACTGCACTGCCACGCCACTGCTCCAACAGCACCCACAGCGGGTGTGCACAGGACAACAGAGCACGGCGAGAGCAGCATGGGTGCTGCTAGGGGCACAGGGACTACCAGAAGCTGCTTGGGACTCTGCCAGGACACCCCAGGCATGTTGGCTTTCCTGGCTCTGGAGTCCTAGCCTACTTGGCCTCTCCTCCGTTACAAGGGACAAAGTGCCTTGACAGTCATTACAAGGGACAAAGTGCCTGCACCCTTGTTGAAAAGGCGCCATGTTACTAAAAGGACAGAAAAAACTCAACTGCTAAATTTCTTTTAGCTCTGCAGGAGAGGAATCCAGGGACAGTAGAAGATCCTGCTCTTCAAGGAGCAAAACCTGGGGACCTCGTGAGGGCAAAAAAGAGGGAGAGGGGGTCTTGGCAGGATCAAGTCGGTCAATGCAGGAACACCTTCAGAAGTGAGCTGTGGATCTGCCTACAGAGGAATGGTTGCTTCTTGTCCTTGGCAGCTGTCTCTGCTCTAGAAAGAGCCCTGCTCCTGATACGTGGACCAAAAAAGGCCCAACTCTCCTTTGCAGAGGACTTTTTAATTGCTGCAAGGGGAACAAGTTAACCAAGCATCCTTTCTCCCAGAGACATGCTGGCCAAGACAGCCTGAAGCGCAAGAGGCAATGGAATTTGTTCTGCACCCACCCAGCCCTGGCCCTGTGGGGCCCTGGGGCTGCTGCATTACATTAAAGAGGAATAAAGCACAGATGCTGGTCATGGGCAGAGCAGCAGTCAGGACACATTGCTCCATGGAAGGGGCAAGAGGTGGGCCACTGGTTTCCAGTGCAGTGAAGGGGCAAAGCAAAGTCATCATCTGACCTTAAAAGGGAAAGTCAAAAGAATTCAGAGAAAAAGGCAAAGTAAGCAGAAGCTCCTTGAGAGCGTCCCTTTAGGAACAATGTTAGCACAAGCCCCCCCAGAGGAACACATTGGGGGGGGGTGGCGGGAATGTCTCTCAGCTGCTGAGCAAAGCCAAGACCAGCCTTTAAATGGGTGCAAGCACGTACGTGGGCAGTCAGTCCCTTCCCTTATCTGGGTGACATGAGTAGTGGTGTCAACCGCCTCCGCACTGCTCCCCGGTCCCTCAGCACTGCCCCAAATCAGTGCAGTCACCGCAGGACATGGTGGGCAGCTGTCGTGCTAAGACAGGCTAGTCCTACATCCTCCCTCCATCCCTGCAGCCGCCCCCAAGGCTTGGGCTCAGGCTGCACCCAGCGCTGGAGGAGAAGGGCAGTGTGGAGTGGAGGGGAAAGGATGGGAGATGGACTGGTAGGAGAGCGGAGATGCGGCATCCGAGAGGACATGAGCAGGACATGACAAGCTGCGATCAGTCGGGGGGAATCTCTGTCCTGACCAGGCAGTTTGGCAGCATCGGTGCTGAGGGAGGGTCCCAACTGGGCCAAGAAAAGTCACTTTAAGGTGTCATCAGCATTCTTGAACATGAGGATGGCATTGTAGATCTTGAGTGCTGGGCCCAGCTTGACACTCATAATCTTGACGATGTCAGCCTGCGTCAGCAAGAGGAACGCCTCACCATCGATCATCTGGAGAGGA